TCTTTTGCGTTTTATATCTGAAGAGGGCTCAATCTTGTAGCCGAAACTTGTTATATTTTTACACATGTTTATACATTTACACATTTATATATGCCGTTCCGTGCGCATGTATCGTCGCATAATAATTTAATTAATTAAATGTTTTGTTTTTCTCTTTGTAATCTACTGACTCTTCTTTCGCCGTGTATTTGTTTGATTATTTACGTTTACATTTAAGAGTCTTTACATCGTTATTATGTACTCGGTTATATAGTTTGATTTTCGCGATTAACCTTGGCCCTTCCGCGTTGACCCAGCATTCCGCTTATCGAATGAGGACAGCTTTCACGCAACTTCTGAGTTTGTATTTCTTAACAATTACAATTTATATAATTTATATTCGCTCAGGGTCTCCTTTTATATTAATTATTTAAAAGTATAGTATCTTTAACAAATCAATTTTGGCAATCATTTATTCAACCGTTTATCCCTTTGACACGTTCGTGGCGCAATCGTCACTTGTGCAACTAGCATTCGTGACATCATATAGTTTATATTAGATACTATGTTTTTGTCTTTTATTTTGTTATTGTACTATTGAAGAGAGGAATAATAATAATATTACAAATTTACATTTTATTGTAAACGTTTATATGACGCTGATAAAATTTATGTAACAGATATAAAATTAAAAATACAAAGAAATATTATAAATATAGTAAGAGATTATTATAAAACTGTTGTAATAACTAAAAAAAGTTGAAAATAACTAAAATAAAATACCAATTTATACTAGAAATATATATATTTAAGAAAAATACAAACGTATAATACTTTCTCGAATGTCATTGCCATTGCTATTTTCATTGCCTCATAATCTATTTTCTTCGTTCATATAATATCTAAGTCATCATAATGTATTTCAGGTTCAGGTCATTGTAGAATTTGGCTACGTTGTGAAGAACGCAAGCATTGACAATAAGTGCTAAAATTATATCTATTCTTAAACATTTGAATATACAATATGAATCTACGTATACATTATCATACATATATCATGCATATTCTCTCGAATATTTAGAAATATAATCATTACATATTCTTACAAAAAAATTCTGGTAAATAATGCAGTCTTCTTTCCTTCCTTAGGCATCTCCACCGTCCTTTCAAAACTCCGATAGTTTGTTCAATATGTGAGCGTGCTTTTACGTGAGCATCGATGTAACGAGCAGAAGGTGATCCTTCAAGTTGACCCCATTTTGGTGTCATTAAGTAAGGTAATGAAGGGTATATTGAGTCTCTTAAAATAAGTTTTCGCGCGCGCGCGCGCGTGTGTGTGTGTGTGTGTGTGTGAATGTATAAATATACTTATATAAAATTTTCATTAATTATAAAATGTATATATATTACAAAATATTTTTAAAATAAATAAACAATATGAGTAATATACCTAATAACCAATAATTTCTCCGTCCATTATTATATTGCTGTTCCAAATGTGCTGAGACAATTGAAGCATTCCAAACGCGTGCATCATGCGTTCTTCCACCATGCCCACTATTTACAGTTAATATTTTTCCATAATAGTTAGAAATACCTTAAAATACAAATATTTAAATACATTAATGATGCGACAATAATAAATAATAGCAAAATAATAATTTAGTTATTATCGCTGATAATAGCTTGTTACTTAATTTATTATATTTACTATCAAAACATTTAACGAATGGTATAATTTTCTGTTAATATATAAACATTCTCATTTTTTTTCTAGAAGCCAAATAGTGATGTGGTTCCATCAACAGTACCCATTATACCTGGAAATTCATAGTTGATCAAAATCTGATATAATAATAGTGATACTGATTTTTTATTTTAAATATTATATTTATCTAGCAGCTAACTTACTGCTCTGTAATATATTGAAGATCATGATACATTTGTGGAAATTTAATCCAATATCTCATTATTTCATTAAATGCTTCTACAACAACATGAATTGCTGCAGATATTGATGCTTGGCACATGCAAGTTAAAAAATCTTGTCCGATGCGACGTTGATATCATCCTGAAGCCAAGGAGCTCAAAGTTACAAAGATCTATTAAAAATAATGCTTATTATTTTATATGTAATACATAAAATAATATTTAAAATGTATATTTTATGTTCAGAATTCAACTTAATTATTAGCAGTTTAACGACAAATTAATGACAGATTCGAATAGGATATATTGACAGATCCATACATATCTACCTGCATTTGATTTGTGTTCTATCGACCATATCTGATGGCAGAATCTAATAGCAGCAAATTGATGACAAGAAAAAAACAGGATTTGCAATATGTTCCATTTAAATATATTGAAATAACATCCTACTTTATTTCTGTTATATCATACTTTGTCATCAAATCATATTATATTTTGGTCAGCAAACTGCTAACAAGTCTACATTAGACACAGTTTAAAATATATTATATTTTATTAGATTTAACTTTTTTGACATAATCTACTTAAAACACACAAATTAGAAAACTATTATATATTTGTTACTACTTGTTAGATTTTTCATTATATTTCATATTGTTTAGTAAACTGGATGTGTCCTGCTTAAAATGCCAGATAAAACCACATAGAAAAAAATCCTATGCGGAATTGGTTTTTGAAACAATAATTTCGCATTCATCCTCATTCAAATTATTTTTTACATGGTTTTATAAGAAATTATTGTATTTATCATTATGAGGTTTTTCGAAAGATTTACATGTGACTTTCTATGT